TACTTGTCCAGGTGATAGTGCGTGACTTGTCCATACACTTGATCGATCTACTGATTCACAACAGAATATCGTGCCGATGATCACCATGGTTCGTGTGGGGATCGCAACGAATAGAGGCTACATAGGCTAAATATCGATAGACATGGATGAACCAGGTATCGTGGGAAGTAGGAGTAACATAAATGCGCGCCCAAGGCGGCGGGTGCACCAAATGTCCTTCCAACGTCGCGCCCAAGATTGAATCAATGTTCACGCATTTTCACGCATTATAATCAACATCTCACATCCCATTTCCGTCCAATATAACCGCCTCTGCGATCTCCCTAACGGTCCCAATCGCCGAAATACGGAACTGTCGACCATAAGGGCTCTTGACCACAATCTCGCGCCCGTCCAGTCTTATAAAGAATCCCTACAGACGGGATGTGGTTAAATAGGTATAAGTTGTTTAATGCACGTACCCTAGGATTAACAGCCTCCTCGTTGATTGGGAACCAAATGAGCGGTATCACCATTTCGGTCAACACAATGACTTCCGGATATCGTGTCGCAGACTTGCGCATCCGCTGAGTTGAACGCTAAGCAGTTCGTCGCCGTAATAAGGTGTAAATATCTCACCTCAATATCATCTCCATTCGATTCGCATTCAGCCCGAATGATGTTATGCAACGACTCCTCCAGCTTCAGTATCGTCTTGCTAGGTAAAGGGTGTCGAATAACAGGCGCAAGGATTTCATAAAGATGTGTGTGTCGGGCCCCTCTCGCAAGGTCGAGTGGTGTATCATCGGATTTGATAGTTCGTAATGTACCTTCAATCTGTCAGCCGAACGTCCTTCATTCAAGATACGAAAGATACGGGGACATACGCCAAGCTCCCAATTCCAACAACATCTGCACCTCCTCCACCGACGCTCCATGCCACGCAGCTTGATGAATCGGCGTATACCCGCTCGGGATTTTCGATTCGTCCCCCGTAGCTTCAAAGTTCACGAATGAGTTGCCAAGCTTGTTGCAAAAGCAAGGTAATACCCAGCCGAATGCAGTTTATCCAGTCCTGCTTATATGTCGTTCGCGCATAGTTGAGCACCACATGAAAACCCGATTGCCGGTGAAAATACGCCGCATCTGCCAGCTTACCCCGTTTTTCAGTATACGGCGTTGATCCTCCCAGTTGGCGTGTCGCTCCGTGCCATGTTCCAAATTGAAAGGGGCTGAGGGATCCAGGTGTTTGCTGTTGATTCTGAACATAAGCCGGGGGACATATATTGAGGTTCGTTGACGGAGGGAGGGGAAGGGGAAACGCCGAGACGGGCTCCATCGATTGCAGGAATGTGTCGAGCAATTGGCTGACAGTTGGCGTCGCCGTAAGCGACGAAAAACTCGCCGCAAGCGACGCCAGATCGGCTTTGACCCCAGTATTTTGGTGAAGAATTGCTTCGGTATCCGACTTGGTCTCCAAAGTCGTCTGCCTAGATGAACCCAAATATGGTTACAAATGTCAGATAAATAGGAAAACAGATCAGAACGTACATTGTTATGGTGGTGACAGCCATGAAAATGTCCTGCTGGTGCTCTCTCAACTTCGCCAATAGACGATCTACCTTCGATTTGTTGAGGAACCACTTCATCGTCGTCGCAACACTCGTCTTCTTCAACGTCTCCTCCGGTCCTTGCTCGGATCGCGCTTTGTGTATCTTCCACACCAGATCATTCAGCTCGTGTACCGTCTTTTTACACACCTCTTCATCGAAAACTTGTCCTATATATGCAGCCTGCGCCGCCGATAAGTTGAGTTTGGCTGCATCAAGCTGGCGCAGCTGAATGGACAATCCTGCAGCGCGAGAGAGAAGATAACTGAGCTCTTGTGGACAGCTTTGATGCGTCTCGATGATAGTGCGGAGGACATCGGCGATGGTGATACAGACGGAGATGAGCGCTGTGCCAGAGGCTGCCAGTGAGAGTGGGTCCATGAGATCCTGGTGACTCACGGCCCGGGCATTTGCGTCACACTTGCGGACATAAGTGGCCGTTAAAACCGAAGCTCAGCGGCAAGCTCCGGCGTTCTGCGGCCGTTTGCAGCAGCCCTTGCCTGATCTCTTCGGATCAGAGCCACCACGGTATGGGGGGTGATTAATCACCGGCCTCTAATCAGCGATGAGTCGCGATGCAAAAAAACCTCTAATCAGCGATCCGTTTTCATTAATCATTGCAGCATTCACCTAGGCTCTCCTCTGGGCAGAGTGCTAGGCAGCATTGCTGCCAAGCGCATCGGCTACTCATTTGTTTTTGTTATTGAAATATATCCGCATTAGGCCAGCGATGACGAACACCCGTTCGACGTCGCCGGCGACGCTGAGCACCACCGAATGGCGAAAATTGCAATAACATTATACAAAAAATATAGGAATATGGGGTGATGAGCATGAGTCCAACCAGGCCGTTATATATTCCGTGCGAGCCACACGCACTCCGGAATCAAGAGAAAGATCACGCGCGGCCGCCCGCTCACCCTCGCGCTCAGTACCCGCCCGAGAGAGTGAGCCGCGCCAAAATGGCGTACACTGGTGGCACCGACAAAGCGCCATCGCCCCGCGGCGGATGGGGCGACTGTTGTGCCCGACCCGGCGCACGCTGGCGGCGGCTCCTGCGAGCGCCCCGCGCACACCGCGGCAACAGGAGAGTTGCTTTGTGCCGCGGTCGTTAGGCTGGCATCGCACCACGACCACAACCGCCAGCCAAGCAGAGACTCAATGTCCAGCCCGTGCGACGTCAAGGGTCCGTCAGGGGGGCTTGGTGCGCCCCGCTCCCGCTATAGGCTCTCCACGGCGCAAGCGGATTCAGGGAACAAGCTCCTCGCCCAGGGGCGGTGTGGGGCAACGCAGGTGCCGTCTGCTGCACCGGCTTCCTCCACGACAGTGCACCGCTGCTGTCCCGCTCCCGAGCGACAGCGCTCACAGCACAGACACATGTGCGAGCTGTGCCAGCAGATACCGGTCTCGATGACGATATACCCGTGCAGGTCGTCCCGGGGTGTGTACTGCAGCGGGCGCACACACGGGCTTACGAGCGACAGCTTCAGGCGCATAGAGGCGGGCGGTACACGGACGCTGTGACGTCCGCCGCTATATATCGTCTGGCGCCGATGCACTCCTCCGCACAGATATCGCGCGGAGCGAAGAGAGCCGCGCCAGGCGGCTATCGGTGTGTGCTACCATTGAGAGTGTACCACAGGCACACTGCGGCGGTGCATACACATCCTAATGCTATATCAGAGGAGAAAACTGCACAAGGTGAGCACATAGCAGGACGCCGACAGCGTAGCAGACGCACCGGGTCAAGTGTCAACATATCCCTCCCCAATGCTGATCTCAGTTACGGATTGCGGCGGGCTCGAAGGAAATGGGGGTGTATGTAAGCACGTGGGAGGGTGTGTCGAGATCCGTCAAGGTGTGTATGCCGTTCGGAGCTGTTCCAGACTGGGAGAGGTCATTGGGGGGTGAAACGAGATCTGGACCATATCGTAGGATTGACGGGAGAAAAATGGAGGAAAACTTACCCAAGACCCCTTGTTACAACCCAGGTGCTGATTTTCGCATCATAACAGGATATGCCCCCGGGGAGAGCATATATGAGTGATATCGTCGGGGGGGGAGCCGTCTGAAAGAACAAGAGTCACGACAGTGACCGACGTCACACGGGGTCTTTTCTAAGCAATAATTCGGGGTCGTATAGCACACCCAAAGATCTTGAATGCTAATCACAGTTCCCCAAGATATTTAAGTGAGTACCCGGGGGAATTTGTATCAAAAAATACCAGGAAAACGGCCGCGAGCAAACTCAGAAACACGAGAAACATGATTTAATATTTATGGGAGACATTTAAACATCCAGTGAGACTTCAATGTCCGAGGGGATATGTGTCGTCAGTTCGTGGACTCAATTAGCTCTACCTTCTAGCAAGCAGCGACGGGAGATAGCCGGGGTTTCGGTGCAATGGGAGCTAGGGGTCTCATTTCAGGAACGGATGCTCGGCGGTCGCCCCAAAACAAACGAGGCCAAAGGTATACTCACCCTTGATATAGTGACGCGTCTGAATACCTGAAAAACGCGTGGAAACGTGTGGAGCCGAGCGCGACGCGACGCGAGGTGGGGAGCACGTGACCGCCGGAAGTACCGGAAGGCGAATGCAAGAGCACGCTGCGATGGGCCGATGGCGGGGGCTACAAAAGGGGAGGGACAAATGAGGAATGCTATATGAAGGCTACACACCCTGAAATACAGCGGGTGCAAGCCGGAGGGCGGGAAGCGGCGGGGGTAGGGGCGGGCAGCGGGCAGCAGGCCAGGCACGCCGCTCACGCGGGAATTAACGAGATGGCAGTAGTTCTGGAAAGAAAACCTTCGGAGCTGCAATGTATTGCGCCCGACGCTGGGGCTGGGCGGCAGCGGCGCGCGCTGGCGGCGGAATAGGCACTGATGGGGGGTGCATAAGCATTAAGGCAGGCACGTAACGGTGATCACGTACTTTCTACGCTGGCCAGAGGCAGTACTTAGAGCCCCGCTTTTTTGTCGCGGCGGGAGCGGGGCCGGGTAAGGCCAAAGGATCAATAGCTAACAAGGATAAATACAACCCAATTGGGAAGCGTGCACGGACCAACAATATGGCGGCGAGCGCGCGCGCTTTTGATTGATGCGCGCCATGGATTGATTGACGGGCGCCATGAACGCGCATGCTGCAGGTGGGTGCCGTGCGCTAATAGCTGAACTGATGCATCACAACGCATCGCTAACTAACGGTTCCAAATTCCGATGCATCGCGACGCATCGCTCATTACCAATGTTATGATTAATCAAAACCCCAGATACGCCTGCACTGGCAGGTTTCTCCCGTCCACTCTACAATGAAGCTTCTCCCGACTCGATAACTCACGGCTAATCCAGATGCGCCTTCTTTCTTGGCAACCAAAAACACATAAAAAAGGAGGAGGTGATATCATGATGATAGGCCCGGGCTCGATTCGAACGAGCAACTCCTGCAGAATCGATTCATCATTTGCTATTGCGCACAGGTGCGGACCGTCCGCTACCGGGCCTTCTCCTCTTACTTGCAAACCTTGTGAATTTGGAGTCTTCCTGGTGTCGCTATGTTGAATTCGGTCCGTCTGGGCTCGTATCGAACCTCGGGGGAAAAATACTGCAGACGCCCTGATTATTGCCCGGGCTCGAGTCGAACGAGCGACTCCCGCTGAACCTGTCGGATGGCGTTAAATAATTGTATGCAGGTGCGGACCACCCGCCACCGGCATTACTCTCATGAACTTGATCTGGTACATATCCTGACATACTTACTCAACATCTCCAGGGTAAGGCGCATTCCCCACTGTGGGAAAAAAATCTTTCTTCAAGGCCTCCTATGGCCCATGCTCGAGTCGAACGAGCGACTCCTGCCAAATCAAATTGAAGCCATGGATAATTTGTGCAGGTGCGGACCATCCGCTACCAGGCCTTTCCATCCCATCTACTAACCTCGCCAGGTCGATATCTTTTCCGAACGGCCCCTGCGACGGAGCATCTGGACGTTCTGCAGAAGGCGTTCGTTCGAATCGAGCACGGGCCATGGAGTTGTAGCCTGTCAGCGCTGATTTTTGTCGTGCGCACTGAAATGCTGTACACAGGAGATAAATGCTCAACAGGACGTCCTCGGTTGAGCCGCTACCGGACCTTCCTATCCTATCTATTAACCTCATTCACGGCGGGAATGGCGAACTAAAATATGGAAAAAAACAATATGACATAAACAACCTATGGCCCGGGCTCGAATAGAACGAGCGACTCCTGCAGCAACACATTATCGTACGTTATTGTATGCAGGTGCGGACCATCCGCCACCGGGCCTTCCTCTCTCACTTATTCCCCCCCCATTAGCTCCTTATCTTTTTGCATCACTGCTGCGGCTTCGCTAACTAAACAAAATTCAAACCACAGGTTTTATGGCCCGGGCTCGATTCGAACGAGCGGCTCCTGCCAAATCAAATTGAAGCCATGGATAATTTGTGCAGGCGCGGGCCATCCGCTGCCGGGCCTTGCTCTCATACATCCGAACCTCATCTAGTACATATCCTGACATACTTCCCAACTTCTCCGGGGTAAGGCGCATTTCCCCACCGTGAGCAAAAATCTTTCCTCAAGCCCTCCTATGGCCCAGGCTCGAGTCGAACGAGCTGCTCTGGTGCAGAACATTTTTCTTCCACAAGAACTGGGTGCAGGCGCGGACCATCCGCTATCGGGTCTTTTCATCCTATCTACTCGCCTCGAGAAGTCAGAATCATCCTGTCCCGAATTTTCAGCGATGTTGAAATTGGTCCGTAGGAGATACACGCGCAAGTTTCATGTATTCATTTGCGACAAGTAAATGTACTTGGTCACCTGGGGTTATGCTAACTACAACCCAGAGTCTCAGGGGAAGTTGTGGAAATAAAATAATAATAAAACATCTCTCTGCAGTCGAATGGCCCAGGCTCGATTCGAACGAGCGACTCCTGCAGAAACTCTGTTTCGAGACAACAATCTGATTCTGTGCAGGGGCGGAGCATCCGCCACCAGGCCTTGTCCTCTTATGTATGCCCTACTCAAGTCAGGATCTTGCCCAGATTTCAACCTATTCTGACTCTGAAGCAGAAATCGCACAGATCGTAACATTTTAACGACATTATGCCCAAAGTTCCAGAGGTGTCTGTTTGATTTAATTCGAAACACCGGACATCGCGACGCCGCCCCTGGAGTTGGTGATTAAGCAGGATACCTATTTCCCCATTCCCACATCGACAGGAACACTCGCCGAATTATCCATGTACCTCGCGTAAGAATCTCCTGATCAAGTACTGCACATACTACATACTTCCTCTCAAGTTCACTCATTCGACCGGCAATGGCACGATTCGCAATGCCTCCGCTTGCCCATTTGCCAGCGTCCCCCACCAACCTCGTCCGAACCATTCCCGCGGAACGCAGATTGTCGTTGGTCGGATGTTCGACCTGTTCCAGGCGCGGCTCGAGTTCTGGGTGGTTCCGATACAACCACATTGCGTCCAGGATCCCAGTTCCGTCGAGAGGAATGTCCCTGTCAGTTTCCTTGTCCCTGTGCAAGAAAGAATATGGCAGAGACAGGAGTAGGAGCGCGATGGACGCCGCAAGACCGACAGAAATCTGTAATTTGGCGTGTCAGATGTGAACAAGGTATGAAAGACAAACCCCACGGCAATGATGGTCAGCTAATCACAGTTAGTTGGTATTTTAGGACAAAGGTATAATGCACGTGCGTCTGCTCGGACTTCTACATATACCACGTCGGCTGTGGCATTCGATTTGAGTAGGAAGGGCACGTGAGGCCGGAGGGTAGGGGCACTTTCCGCTGGGGAAACGTGACCTACTGAAAAGATCCATTGAGCTTTGCCGTCCTGATCAGGTACGGCCTCAAATCTACGTGTCCAAAACGTCGAGGCCACGAGTGTCGATAAAATGTTTTCGACATCGTGGAGCGTTACATTGGAGCGTAAAGGTTTAGATGAATTGAGGCCCGGCAGATCCAACTGCTCAATCAAGTATCTTGTGGTTCATAAACGGATCAGATCGTGGAAATTTAGAACGAATAGTGTACTTGCTTGTCCGCAGTTGTAACATATTTCGCTGGGGATTGGAACATGGCCAGGGCCAGGTCGGATGGAGGGATTTCACCATACCAATACGCCCACTGAACGCAGTGAATGAGACGCGGTCACAGTTGAGAAGTAAATCAACCACGAACCGTGTCTAGGAGAAAATTCCCGCTCGTTGTCAAATTCGCTGCGGTTTCGTTTTTGTCCATGTCGAAATCTGAGGGCCCAGCATACGGTAACCAGGTGGAAGTGGTTTTTGTCAGTGCAGGCTCCACCGCTAGTAGGTTACGGGACTGCGAGTCGATGAATGCTGTTTGGGGCACCAGTGACTGAGAGCAGCGAAAGGCCTGGACGGAAGAAACTATCGTATATGCGGTGCCATTATTGTCCCAAGCCTCAGTAGTCATAGGTGGACAACGCGGGCCCGAGTAAGAGGCATCCAGTGTCCCCTCCCTTGTCGAGTTCTGATGTTCCTTTCCCGAATTGTCCGAAACGTCGGAATCGGTCCGTACACGCGCATGATTCTCCTTGGTTCCAAAAAATAACGCAGCAAAACGTGAGGTTGCAAAATAAATAAAAACACATTTCACGGCAGTCGAATGGCCCAGGCTCGATTCGAACGAGCGACTCCTGCAGAAGAATGTCTCATCCAGGAATTGTGTGCAGGCGCGGACGACCCGCCACCGGGCCTTCTCCTCTTCCGGACTAACCTCGTCATGTCGGAATCTTCCTGGTGTCGCTACGTTGAAATCGCTCTGTCCGGACTCGTATATTATTATCCAATTCCCAGGGAGTTTACTCAATCAACGCAGATGTCTGATATCATCTAACCTCGGGAAAAAATACTGCAGACGTCCTTATTATTGCCCGGGCTCGATTTGAACGAGTGACTCCTGCAGAAACTCTCACAATTCCGGGTGGCGATTCTGTGTAGGTGCGGACCACCCGCCACCGGGCCTTGCTCTCATACATCCGGACCTACTAGTAAGCTAGTACATATCCTGGATTACCCAACTTCTCCGGGGTAAGGCGCATTTTCCCACCGTGGGCAAAAATCTTCCTCAAGTCCCTCTGTGGCCCAGGCTCGAGTCGAACGAGCAACCCCTGTCAAATCGGAAGAGGCAACGATGAATTGTGCGCAGGTGCGGACCATCCGCCACTGAGCCCTGCTCTCATATATCCGAACCTCATCTAGTACATATCCTTGGCATACTCAGCCGACTTCTCCGGGGTAAGGCGCATTTCCCCACCGTGGGCAAAAATCTTACTTTACGTCTCCCCATGGCCCAGGCTCGAGTCGAACGAGTGTCTCCTGCTGTTACAACTCGCGAGTCGAGCGTCATTGGGTGCAGGGGCGGACCATCCGCTACCAGGCCTTTTCATCCTATCTAATCGCCTCGAGAAGTTGGAAACTTCCTGTCCCGAATTTACCGCCAGCGAGATGTTGAAATCGGTCCGTCCCTGCCCGTGAGACATTTATATTGTTTATCCCATGCAGGTGCGGAATCCGCAGGCCGTCGGCCCACATCCCTGATACTTCTAACCTCGGGCTACTCAATAAACGGACTGGGAGATGCCTGAAATAATCTAACCTGGGGGGAAAAAATACAGAACAGTCCATTTTATGGCCCGGGCTCGAATCGAACGAGCGTCTCCTGCAGCAACACGAACGGCTGGTTATTGTATGCAGGCGCGGACCATCCGCTACCGGCCCTTCCTCCCTGACTTACTCCCCTCGTGAACTCAGGATGTTCTTGGCGTGGCTTAGGCTACTGCTATGCTAAAATCGGTCGATCTAGACTCGTATATTATATATGCCATGCAGGTACGGACTAGTTACTCAATAAGCACAGATGCCTGACATCATCGAACCTTGGGACAAAATGCTAAGGATGCCCTTATGGCGCGGGCTCGAATCGAACGAGCGACTTCTGCACAATCTGTTGCTCAGGCTATTCTGCTAATTTGCACAGGTGCAGACCATCCGCTACCGGGCCTTCTTCCCTGACTTACTCCCCTCGTCAAGTCAGGATCTTCCTGTTCCGAATTCCGGATCCAGTCCGCAGCTGGGCACATACATAGCCATCGCCGAAATTGCAATACGTGAGGTTATGAAATTTCCTGCCGCGCGCTTCAACAAGCGAGGTGCAAGCTCCAATTGGTGAAGCCTCTATCTAACCTCAAGTGCGAGAGGCTCGCCGCGCGCCTCAGCTGAAGTTGCCGGAATAAACACCAAAAACAACACAAAAACCGTATCGATGCTGTGGAGGGGCCCAGGCTCGAATCGAACGAGCGTCTCCTGCAGAATCCCTCCGTCTATTCCATCGTGCACAGGCGCGGACCATCCGCCACCAGACCGTCCGTCCTACCTCCTGACCTCTTCAAGCAGGTTGCACGAAGAAAAAGGCAGCTGGACAAAAAAAATGGTGTCAATCCTCCCTACTGCCGAATCGAACGAGCGACTTCTGCAGAAGCTCAGATTCCCCGATCGTTGTATGCAGGTGCGGACCACAGAGTGTACGTACTTGTTGACAACGAGAAGGACCTCGCGCGCATCGTAAATTTGCATCCAAGTCTGGTACGACCATTAACCAGAGTTTGTGTCACTTGCAAGAATATGGCAGCAAGGGTCACGTCTAAATACTACTTAGGCAATTGCGAATAGCACGAGGACCCCGCAGACGATGAGAAATACACAGGATGTCCGAGTTTTCGCCTTTGAAGAAGGAATATCGCAAACCTATGGGTGATATACTGTCTAAAAATTGAGTACATTTTACAGGGTTTATGAAAGCAACTTACAATAGAATTATGGCACATATAATGTGCAAAAAATGCTACCTAACATCTTTCAACCGTAAACAGGGTTTTTGCTTGCAACTTCAGTTGAATTAATGAAACTGCTGACAACTCAGGACTTGGGAACAACTTTGCCGGAGCTTTACACCATGTGGTTCTGCACTACATTCAATCCTCGGTACAGCTTGGAGGGACCTCACATCAAGCTGGATTTGCTAAAATGATGGCACTGATTGGAACATTGATGCTACGTCCTTTGCCGAAATCCCCAAACGGAAACGATGCCATTCGTCTAAAATGGATGCAAGAGATCAATAATACCTCTGAGACACTCAATCTCACTCTATTTCCTCTGTAAACTCAAACCACCAAGAGATTGAACACAGGAAAACTGACAGGGCAGTTTGAACTAATTGGGAGCGCTCGAGGATTCTTTGGAAAGGAACAGACCCCCAAACATTTAAGAGACCCTCAGAAAGATCCATTGGAACTGTGATGCCGGCCGGAGTCCACCCAAATCCCTAGCGAGCGTCACTCAACAGGAGCTTGGATGGACTCCAGCATCGAATGGCTATCTGATGAGATTCTCATGACGATCCCCTGCATTTGTGAGGTCCATCTCAGGGAAGACTGCTCTGAACAGCTCCTAAATAGTTCAACGTGTCTCCGCGTTTTTGCTGCTCTCGAAGCTCTCGATGCTTTGAATTTCCCGATGAAGAAGTGTAAGATTAATCACTGCAGAGGTATTGAGGACCTCCTACATACAATATAGACCAAGAATAAGATGGATTCCCTTTTGGGACTCGGCAAAAGTCTTCGCATCAATGTTCTAATCAGCGGCTGCAATTGAAGAAAATCGGCCTCGATGCAAAGACCCTCAAAGATGTATTGAGGGTTGAAAGAAGTGGAGAGATACCTGCTGTAGCCCTGAGACACAGTTGTATCCATCTCCCGAGTTGTCAGCAATTTAGGAATTGAACCAAAGTTGTTAGCAAAAACCCTGTTTCTAGCTAAGAGATGTCAGCTAATAATTTTTGGACAGTATATGTGTCATATATATCACCCATATAGAATCCCCTCTTCAGCTTACACCTTGGTTTGCAGCTAACAACCCAAGGCAGCTTACATCTCGACCTTAAAGTTGTTCGCATCTTCCGAGTTGGTTGCATTTGATTGCCGGATGAGAGCCATCATTTCAGTTCCCGGCAACGTAACTGCCACAGGCTTGATGGACCCCCGAAGATTCGCAATGATATTTAACGCTTCTATTTTCCCAAAGTTTGCTCCGAGCGCAAATGGCCTCAATCCAAGCAAAAATTAGGGTTGAATTTTACCTATTTCTACCTCAGAATCCAGGTGTTTGACTTCAATGGATTAGGTTTCTCTTAAGCTTCCAGCTATCTCGGAGGACTTCCTTAGTCCCTGCATATCAGATTGACGACTGGTTTCCTTTTCGGACTTCGGCTGGATGCCACCATCAGTGTTCCCATCAGTCACATCATTTTAGCGAACTTATGCAGAAAAGGAATACCAATCTCAGGATGCTCAAAGCTGTATCCAGCCTCAGATGTACTGTCCAACTTGCTGTCTGGGTTGAAACTTGAGTCCATGTCCCAAGTGGTCAGCAATTTTGTGAATTCAACTGCACTTGTAAGCGAATTCCCTGTTTAGGATGAAAAGATGTTAGCCAATAATTTTTGGACAGTATGTGCCATACGAACGCAAAGGGGATGAGGTACATTCCTGCGGGTGATCATCATTACTGTTGTTTGCATAAGTCCGTGAAAACACGGAAAAAATTCGCGCAGTCGCGTGTCGATCTACTCAGGTCTCACCATGCTTCGGGGATGCTTAAGACGAGGGTGAATGAATTGAGTATTTTTTGTCATGTCCGGACATCAATATATCCCCTCCAGCCTGCTATCTTGTTCAATGTCACGTGTTCTGGCAGGATCAGCATGTTGGTTTGGGACATCGATCAATGTCCGAGGAACCTTGCAATACATTTTATCTGTGGTTATTGTGGAAATCTCCTCGAGAGTTCCTCTTCCGGCACGTGACTGCACGATTTTTTCTCGTGTTTTCACGGACTTATGCAATCGACAGTAGAGAGAGAGCAGACATCAGACTGCCGCTTACCGTTGCAAAATAGCCTTGCCTGGCAGGTAGGTGTTGTGAGCTCAGAGGAATTGGACCCACATCTTGCAATGGACATCGCACCGAAGCAGACCATAGCTCGTACTCGAGTAACCCATGCAAGTCTGAGATAGCAGCATTTTGAATGACCGACATTGATATCAGAAAGTTGAGGCAGGGGTCAGTGTGCAAGCGTGCGAGATGGCCGTGTTTTGTATTCTATCTTTGAACGGTGCGGGATGCCGTCATTGTGGATCAACAGGTGTTGAACAGGTGGGCTGTCAGCGCCCAAAATAGCACCTTCGAGTTCCTGAGCCACTAAGTTGATTGCTACCCGCCGACCTACCGCGGTGAATCTTGCCTTGCCACACCATTTGCTAGCGGACTTTTGAATTCGTTGATGAAGAGAAGACCCACGCAGGATGCAGAGCTCGTCCAAATGTTTTACAGATCTACGTTTAGGACTCTACGGGATCGGCGCACGTTCAACTTTCCGTTGCCTCTGACGAAAGCTGATGGAGGGCCAATTGTCTCCATTCAGTTAAATTGTGCTCCGAAATCCCGGGCAATTGAAGTCTGAAAACACTCGGGCGCATTTTGGAGCAAAGATGTACGCCTGACGTGGAGGAACAGTATCAATCTGGGGAGTACCTTGAAGGGCAGCACTCGAAGGCGATGTCTGAGCACGGAGTTTTGAATACTCAGGCGTATCTTGGATGAACGATGTACATGTACCACCCGGTGGAGGACGGTCTTGCAATGTATTGCTGTCTCGGCAAAATTGAAGGCGCTATCATCTTTCAGATGAATTTAGCGGAATGCCCTCTTGTATTTGTCTGGTCGCGACATGGGCTGCGATGCAAGATTAACGTTCAACAGTGGAGCACGCTGAATCTTTAAGAAAATCTCTATGTGCATATGGGGCTGATACTGTAAGATGATTGTTTTCAGTTTTTCGGAAAGGAAAGCGCGAGATCACTGATCCTAGTTCAAGTTGTGAACTGATAGTGATACATGTGCTCTGATCCGAAGAGATCGGGCAAGGGCTGCTGCAAACGGCCGCAGAACGCCGGAGCTTGCCGCTGAGCTTCGATTTGAACGGCCACTTATGTCCGCGAGTGTGACTCAAATGCCCGGGCCGTGAGTCACCAGGATCTCATGGACCCACTCTCACTGGCAGCCTCTGGCACAGCGCTCATCTCCGTCTGTATCACCATCGCCGATGTCCTCCGCACCATCATCGAGACGCATCAAAGCTGTCCACAAGAGCTCAGTTATCTTCTCTCTCGCGCTACAGGATTGTCCATTCAGCTGCGCCAGCTTGATGCAGCCAAACTCAACTTATCGGCCGTGCAGGCTGCGTATATAGGACAAGTTTTCGATGAAGAGGTGTGTAAAAAGACGGTACACGAGCTGAATGATCTGGTGTGGAAGATACACAAAGCGCGATCCGAGCAAGGACCGGAGGAGGGGTTGAAGAAGACGAGTGTTGCGACGACGATGAAGTGGTTCCTCAACAAATCGAAGGTAGATCGTCTATTGGCGAAGTTGAGAGAGCACCAGCAGGACATTTTTATGGCTGTCACCACCATAACAATGTGCGTTCTTTTCTCGTCTTTATCTGACATTTGTAACCATATTTGGGTTCATCTAGGCAGACGACGTTAGAGACCAAGTCGGATACCAAAGCGATTCTTCACCAAAATACTGGGGTCAAAGCCGATCTGGCGTCACTTGCGGCGAGTTTTTCGTCACTCACGGCGACACCAACTGTCAGCCAATTGCTCGACACATTCCTGCAATCGACGGAGCCCGTCTCGGCGTTTCCCCTTCCCTTGCCTCTGTCAGCGAACCTCAATATATGTCCCCCGGCTTATGTTCAGAATCAACAGCAAACACCTGGATCCCTCAGCCCCTTTCAATTTGGAACATGGCACGGAGCGACACGCCAACTGGGAGGATCAACGCTGTATACTGAAAAACGGGGTGAACTGTCAGATGCGGCGTATTGTCACTGGCAATCGGGCCTGCATGGGGTGCTCAACTATGCGCGAATGACCTGTAAGCAGGACTGGATAAACTGCATTCGGCTGGGTATTACCTTGCTTTTACAATAAGCTTGGCAACTCATTCGTGAACTTTGAAGCTACGGGGGACGAATCGATAATCCCGAGCGGGTATACGCCTATTCATCAAGCTGCGTGGCATGGAGCGTCGGTGGAGGAGGTGCAGATGTTGTTGGAATTGGGAGCTTGGCGTATGTCCCCGCATCTTTCGTATCTTGAATGAAGGACGTTCGGCTGACAGATTGGAGGTACATTACGAACTATCAAATCCGATGAAACACCACTCGATATTGCGAGAGGGGGCCGACACACACATCTTTATGAAATACTTGCGCCTGTTATTCGACACCCTTTACC